GGGAGGCAGGAGCTGCGGGGAAGCCGAGCCGGGAGCTCCGATGTCTCCTCACGGCTGTGGGTTCTTCTCCATGGAAAAGCCTTCTGCTCCACTCGGCTCCTGGGGAGATAAGGGCATTAGAGAAGCCTTCAGCACGGGGTGGTAAAATAAGCAGTAGCCCCCTGCATATGAAGAGTGGTCATTTAGATAAAGTTTCTCCTGGTGGAGGGATACAACTCAAGGAGAGGAGAAAAAGACACTCCTGTCACCCTACATCACCCAACTCAGTGCCATTTTTATGTGGCAGGTCTGGATTCCCTAAATTGTGTGGCTCCGAGAGACAAACTGGCAGGTGACATAAGGCAGCAGAGCACAGATGTCACATACATCCAAAGGGAGCTTGCACGTGCGCTCTATTGCAAACCTACCAGGGCATGTTTGCAAGCACCCCGGGAAAGGCAGGCCCAGCCCCTGGCACGCGGTAGGAATCCCGTGTGCCCAGGCGCAGGGGAGCTGGCGCTGGGGCGCCTTCTTCAACACCTAAGTTTAACTTTGCAGCCAAATCATCAAACAGGCAATGGGAACCCACCAAGTCTTGGTGCTACACAGGGTCTTCCACACCAAGCTCATTAAATTTTCCTCTGAAAAAGGCTAGGAAGGTGCCATGGCATTTTTCTTCTATCAGTTGCATGGGTAATACAAAGCTACTTCACTAGGGTTTTTTCTTTTTCCTCTAATCAGCCTCTTGTCTTGGTGTCCTCTGGGACACTGTAATTTTTATAAGCATTAGCTATGATTATTTAACACAAATAATTGTTTCATTGACTTGAAAAAAATGGTTATATAACAGGAAAGTAATCTCCTTGTAGTTTCTAACTGTGAAATTTTCCAGCTTGTATAATACTTACTGCCATCTTAATTCTAATGTATGCCCTCGGGCAGTTTACAGTATTATAATATAATTAGTGCTCTTGAGTTTGGCAAGGTTTATTTTTCAGCATTATTATTATTATCAGAACGCACATAAAATGCAGTTTTATATGACTAACAGAGACAGCAGAGATTATCGTGGGAAGTTATATAAACATCTGTGTTTCTGTAGGGTAGTTAAGCACAGTAGAAAATAGGTGTATTAGAAAACATTCATGAGATTCATTATCAACACTTAGGTTGGGGTTTGGGCTAGTAAGGAACTCATAACAGCATATTTTTGCCTTTTTGATGGCATTTTCTCCTCAAGATGCTTTGGGAAATCCACTGACCAAGCGGCAGTGCTTGCATTGACAGCCCTTTTCCTCCAGTCAGCCTGATTTTAAATGCCAAAATAGGAGGGTCGAGCGGGCGCGCTGACGCCGTGTCCCAGAGGGGAGCCCGCGATGCTGACAAGATGCGGGCGGCCGCTTGTCCGCGCGGGCAGCTTGGAGGTCAGCTCTCAAACCCATCCTTACCCAGGGCGAGAGGGAAGAATTATCAGCAGCGAGAGTCACGCTTGGCTGCAGCGGGGGGAAATCACTGCAACTTCCGATGCCACCTTATTATTAATGTATACGGTTTGCTCATATATTACCCGAGTACGTTATACACACGGCATAGCTAACATATGCAACATGTGCATGTTAATATATATTAATATATTCCTCTACACAATGAACAGACATGCATATGTACATAATTCTTATCAAGATTTCTCGGTATAAACTATCCCTATTTTATCTTTTCACGGTTTGTTTTATGATTATATACTTCTGTGTGAAGAAATCTTACGCGATACGTGTATATATGAGCCTTAGCTTTGTTCATGATAAAGATCAGCTATTAAATTACTTTTCGAAATAAAGTTTTCCAAGCCTCAAAACGCAATTAGCGGGGGGGAGGGGGCGGCGGGGAGGAGAAGCACAGACCGAAAACGGCTTTTTTTTCTTTTTTCTTTTTTACACCAGCGGATCAAGGTCAGTTGCCTCAGCAAAAGAAATTTCATTTTTAAGCCTGTCTGTGCAGGATAGGAATCAATTATCGCGTGCGCGGCCGAGCCCCGGCAGCAGCCGCGCTCCGGCGTCTGCGGCGCTGCGATCCCGCGGCGGCTCCGCTCCCGCGGATCTGGGGAGCTGCTCCCTGCGCACCCCGCTCCCACGCGGATAAAAGGCAGAAGCGGCAAAGGCAGCGGCCGCCGCCGCGCTGCTCCGCGGAGGGCCCGCGGCTCGGAGAGCCCCGCGGCGGCGGCTTCTTTTCCCCTTGAATCGTTTGCGGCAACAGGTCCCGGCGCCTTTTCCATGAGGAGAGCAAAAAAAATAAAGCATGCGTTGGGTTTTCTTTGCTTTGCTTTCCTTTCTTAATTTTCGGTTCCCTAGACAGGACAGTTTTACTTTCTCGTGAGTCGGAGGCATGAACAACCACCACCTGATGAGTCTGTAGGAATTAGAAGCGGCAAAGTGAGGAGCGGAGCCCGCTCCTGAGCGCCGGGAGCTGGGGAGGTTTCGAGGCGCGCTCTGCTTAGCGCGGGTTTGTGACCGGCACGAAAGGGAGAGAAAAGAAAGGATGAGGGGGGAGAAAGAAGGAGAGGGGAGAGGAAAAGAAAGGAAAAGAAAGGAAAAGAAAAGAAAAGAAAAGAAAAGAAAAGAAAAGAAAAGAAAAGAAAAGAAAAGAAAAGAAAAGAAAAGAAAAGAAAAGAAAAGAAAAGAAAAGAAAAGAAAAGAAAAGAAAAGAAAAAAAAA